TATCGCGGTCGAGTTACAGCTTATGATACTTATGCTCTTATGACACATTATGCAGTACTTATTATATGCCGTGAATTGATTTATTTTCTGTTTCCCTCTTTCTTTGCCCCCCATAATCAAGGCGACAACCTAGCAATGGTGTTCAGAATGTGTCCTCTGGAGCACATCCCCTAAACGTACGTCTGGAAGGCACAGCAAGTAACCGTACTACGCGCCAGTCACGCTGGCCAAGTACACACTGCAACGCTCATTAATGGGTCTTCAGATATGCCGATACTTACATACACGGTCAGGTAAACCATCACAGCGAACGCAAAATTCGTGCTAATACATAATTGTCATTATCATAACACCGTATGAACATATTCGTGCGAAGCAAGCAATATGACAATGAACAACATACAAGTCACACGTGACGAGGGAGACATCGAAATTCGAGTCGATGCTCACAAGAAAGCGGCGGACTGATGAGCGAAAAAAAATAAACGAAAAGGAGACGAAGCGGGCGAGAGAGAAAGGACAAAGAACATAGGCGGCAGGGTGGTAAAAGACGGAGACGGATCCAGGAGAAGAAGCTGGTGAAAACTTCTGTGATTGCAAGCCGTCGTTTTGTGTTAGATATTAGAATGGAACAAATCCAGTATACAATAGTGCTACAGCCACGACTGAAAGACAATGACGCACAGTCTAGCGACGTGCATACCCGCCACCGCCGTGGCGATAATTAGATGAGGTCGCTGTAAAACGCATGTAAGTCATCGTATTCCAGAGCCGGTAGAAACGACGTACGCGACGTTTAATGGCATCTCGTCGATTTGAGTGTTGTAGAACTGCTCGATATCGCGGAGCATGCGAACGTCGTCTGCCGTGACGAAATTGATAGCTACACCTTTACGACCGAAACGACCGCCACGACCGATACGGTGAATGTAGTTCTCTCGGTTGGTGGGCAGATCATAGTTGATGACAAGAGAGACCTGCGTAAGGATGCGTTATAGGTCGTATAACTCATCCGTCAGGACACATACCTGCTGAACGTCGATACCACGGGCGAGCAGGTCAGTAGTGATAAGCACTCGAGAGGAGCCAGAGCGGAACTCCTTCATAAGGACTTCACGCTGCTTCATTTCCATATCGCCATGCTACTGAAGTGTAAGCCGTGTAACGCGGGAGCTCAACCAAAGACAACGTCGCTTACCATGGCGCTGACAGTGAACTCACGCGAGTGCATTTTCTCCGTGAGCCAGTCAACCTTTCTCCGCGTGTTGCAGAAAATGACGGCCTGAGTGATCGTGACAGTCTCGTACAGATCGCACAGCGTATCCAGCTTCCATTCCTCCTTTTCTACAGCGATGTAAAATTGCTTGATACCTTCAAGCGTAAGCTCATCACGCTTAACAAGGATGCGGATCGGATCACGCATGAATTTTTTGGTGACCTCGAGCACGTCAGCAGGCATGGTGGCTGAGAGCAAAACAACCTGGATATCCTGAGGAAGGAGCTGGAAGACTACAAGTAGCGTCAAATATCCCGCTTGCACAAACACTAAAACATCGCTCATACCCTCGTAAATCTGGTCCTTAAAACCGCGGCTCAACATCTCATCGGCCTCATCAAGACAGAAAATCTTGATGTTGTCGGTCTTCAGAGCCCGACGGTTGATCATGTCGAAGACGCGACCAGGCGTACCGACGACAATCTGGACACCCTCCTGGAGCTTGCTCATATCCTCACGAACATTCGTACCGCCAACGCAAGCGTGGCACTCGGTGTTCATGTAGTCGCCCAGGGCAATGACAACTTTTTGGATCTGCTGAGCAAGCTCGCGGGTGGGTGCAAGGATAAGTGCCTGGGTCGCCTTGAGGTTCAAGTCGAGCTGCTGGAGAATGGAAATAGAGAAGGTGGCGGTCTTGCCGGTACCGGATTGCGCCTGCGCGATGACGTCGTGACCCTTTACAACAGGGACGATGGCGCGCTGTTGGATCGCAGACGGGCGTTCAAAGCTTGGGAAGAAGAATCAGTGATGAGAAAAAACTGAGGTTCATGAGCGACATACCCGTAAGCGTAAATACCACGGAGAAGCTCCGGCTTCAGATCCATGTTATCGAAATTGTCGACGATCTGGTCCCAGTTGGACTCGATCTCGTTTTCTGCGACATCCTGAAATTCTTCGCTACGGGTATACGGTCAGATGAATCGAAACGTCAAGAAAACGAAGAAAACTTACGCTGACATGTATTATAATCTAATTTTATATTTCCAAACCGCAAGGGTACTTGGAAAAAAACGATCTGACTGTGTGTTATGTGTTGCTGCACACACAAATCGATAAGTGTTCCGTATACGTGGCGAAGGTGATTTCACGTCGCCGCACACATCGACAAGGCGTGCAGCGTCAGTAGACCAGCGGGAACGAGTGATCGCAGTTTCCAGGTCATTTATACGCCGAAATCGCGCAGGGTTGTAACCGAATGACGAGGCAACATATCCGATAGCAATGAAATATAGAGAGCAGGTCCGCCCGATATCACCACAGGGAAGTGAGATTGTGCAAATCGATCATTTCGCGATTTTGAATCCAAAAAAAAAGGAAAGTAGACGGGAAACATCAAAACAGGCGTCAACAACGGTCAAGCGAGCGACACACACCTTGTTAGCTGTTGGCAAAAGCCTTGAAATCGATCAGGAAGCAAGGAGAGAAAATTGGCCTCAGCACGGTTCGGCAATCTCCGTGTCTGACTCTCACTTTGTCAACGGGGGCGCTCCCCCTCGAAACCATTTTCCGGACTCACGGCGGCGTTGCCGCACTACCCAGTAGAATCCCGGAACAGCATTGGGTCTCATTGTCTAATATGCCTGACCAAGTGTTCTGCAAATTACCTACAAATTACCTCACATTCCGCTGGGAACAGGAGTTGGAAAACGGGGCAAAAAACAGTGCACACGAATTGTATGATATTACTGCATATACGTACGGTAAACAACTGTGCATATACGCCCTCAGAAAGTAAGCCGTGACTGAAAAGTACAACAACGGGTCGTGGGTATTATTTAGTTTGTATACAACGTAAGAGACGGAAAACATGCCAATCGCCGTCCATCATCGTTTGAGGACCGCGGACTCAACAGCAGCCAGCCTTCGATCTGCTGGCTTCTAGAGTCAAGGAATCGACGCCAGTCGGCTTTGAGAGCTTCACGCCAGGCGACTAGAACACAAGAACCCCTCGTCAACATACCAACACAGCCATTCACGCGAACAGAAAGCCTACCCTGTCATCATCGAATACACCGCGCTTTACCTTATCGAGGATATCACGCGTTGCAGACTCGAACGCGAGCTCAACGTTGACGCCCGACTTAGCAGATGCCTCCACAAAAAGTAAGCCCTCTTTCCGTGCGAATTCTGCACCCTGCTCCGTGGTGACCCGCCGCCGTCGGTGCGAGGCCGAGCTCCGCCTCGAGGCCGCTGAAGTCTTGCGCTTCAATCCACCATCCGGTGCCCCGCCACTCGTGTCCTCCAGACTGTCGTCACACAAGTCGACTTTATTTCCCACAAGAATGCATGTGAGGTGAGGATCTGCATGCTCACGCACATCGGATAGCCATGTTGAAACGTCGTCGAAAGCTAGGACAGCTACGCGTAAGGCACAGGCGAAAGGAAAACCCGATTGAACGAAAAGACTCACTCCTTCGACTGGTGACGTCGTATACCAATAGACAACCAGCTGCACCACGGTAATACGATCGTGTAATAGACCTGAACGACTCGGTGCCCGCTGTATCCCAGCCTATATGACACATCAATAGGTAGATGTGAGTAACACGAGACACCACCCACATTGCAGCTTGACAACCTTGCCTTCGTCTGGCAGAGTTATAAGCTTTGAACCAAATTCTACGCCAAGCTACAGAACGGCAGAGAGAGACAATGGGGACCCATCAGACGAACTCCAGAACTCAGGCTCACAACGACGAACTGTAGGGTCCGGATTGGCAAGGAATCGCTGGTCGGTCAAGCGAACGAGTAGAGAGGACTTTCCGACTGCGGCGTCGCCTGGCAGTTGGACATCCGTAATGTAGAAGGTGCAAATAATGAATAGTCGCTTGACGCCACATTCGAAAGGAGCCACGCACCGGTTATGATGAATTTCAGTACATAATCCCACGAGGTGCCCGCCATCGTGATAATTGCAATAGAAGGGTCAAGTATGACTTGAAGTAGTTTGGAGGTGTTGACGCTTGTTCGGAGAACGAGTGGTTGTCGTCGTCTGCTGAAATTGAAGAGGACTCGTGAGTCGTTGGATTATACAGTGTGTGGATCGTTAATCTAGATTCGAGAGGCGATCTAACATATATAGATGGAATGGGCAAGAGATTACACAGTAAGCCAAAAAAAATTGCCGTATTCAAGAGCAAATAGACGAATCCAACGTTTTCAGGCCAGTGCAATGCTGTAACGATGAACGTCTGGAACAGGATTGTGCCAAGCAACCTGGGAAAGGGCTGCTGTTGTCTCCGAGTATGAGTCACCTGTCATATTTCAATTGCCGCGCTCAACGCGTATCACTCGCGTAGGCATCCTATTTTGGGTAGAAATATGTATGATAAAAATATCTTTTTAAAATATTCATTGCTTTTTCCTGTTTGCGATTATTTCTATCCCTGCAAAGAAATAAGATGCATTACATGCGAACGCAATTTTTAATCTGGCTTTAGAATAAGTATGCTTCAAATTCATGCTGAATTGCCCTCAGGAAAATGAGCATCTCAAATCCAGGCCCTGTGGGAATGCGATGTACTGTCCCATCTTACCTTTTTTTTTTCTTTTTAAATCCGGGTTTATTCTTTTAAGGGAAATCCCTAGGTCAGAATTATTTTAAATCGCGTTTGTATATTATTGCCTGTTGTGAATTGGAGGAGCCCTTGGCTTGTGTTCCACTATAATAAAAAAGCTAGGCCACTTCACAGATAGCTCAGAAAAGCAAGTTTTCGATCGAATATGCATTAAGGGGGAATCGAACCCCCGGCGGGTCGAACAATTCTCCGTGCGCTTATGGCAACGACCCAGGTTACCACTACCCCATTAATGCGTAAAGTATTGAGCGGATGAGCAACCAGTAATTTTACCTATGCTTGCTAAATCCGAATTAGATATCCACGTATGTATATATTTCAGTCAGACAATTTGGCTTTTTTCTCTTAGGGAAATTATTGAGATAAGATGCGTACAGTATACTGTAGGCTTTTTTCGAAATGTGTCTGACATACATGATCGCAAATTTGTGACCGATCGCGTCTGTCACGTGTCGCTCCACGCATCACGACAAGTCACGACGAGCGCGTCGCGCGACTTGCATTTTACTCCAAACGCCATGTGCAAAGCGGTTGACCGATGCATCGATGATTTTTCGGTATACACTTCTGTTATTTATCGAATTCCACGTCTGGACGTTATGTGGATAGCGGTTCCATTGACAAATCAACAGAGTGAGCAGTTCAACTTGAAGGAGATACTTCTCATACTCCCGACTTGTCCGAGTCGAAAGGTCAGCTCTCTATGTCATATTAGATTGATCTCAAGCTGGCCTTCATTTGCGTCAACCCCAGATAAACATGTTTTCGAGTATATCTCCTACAGTTACGTTTGAAATCCCCTCTTTCAGCTCTATCCAGTGCTAATTTTCTACCAAGGAATCAAAAATTCACGCGTTCGAGCCGTTAGGATACACTTTGTTGTATCCAAACTCGTTCGCGTAAGTAGTGGAACAGACGCGGTATACCAAGCATATCGTATCCAGGTGAATCGAGACCCAGAATGGCGTACATAGTCGTGACGGGGTCCCACGAGCTGCGTGAGGCAGAGCAACCAGCTGCATACCATTGGCACGCAGCGCGCAGGAGTGAGTCTGTCGGTGCGCGCGACGTCAAGCTGGCTCCCATGTAGATTTCTGCACCAGGATAAAGGCCAGAATATGTGACACGTCCTTGCCAGGAGTCGACGACGAAGTACGTTGTGAGCGGCGTGGCGGAGTCAAAGTTATACTCCCAGCCACTGCTTGTAGGTTTTTACGTTAGCGCACGCGCATGGCAAGCAAGCGAGCGGTCGAATGGGCACTTGCAGACTTCTGACAGCCTTACCTGGGTATGATACGCTCATGACGACGAGTTCTCTGACCTTCCCCGCTACGAGCTGTTGTCCCGTACGAGTACTCGTCCGCTGATGCATGAGCGAATTCAAGGGCGCCGCGGTTGTCGAAGAGCCCGAGAGAGACGATCGTCACACTGTCGTCCTCCGCCTGGCCTAGTAGGTTTCTGTACAGATCTGCAGGCGTCGGCGTGCTTGCCGAATCCTTCAAGGTGTGTGGGAAGTGCCCGATCTTGCTTGCGCACTCGCCACGGCTATCAATGTACTGGGTCAGCAAAGCGCTATCAAGAGAACGAATGCTTATGCTTATGCACTTGTAGGTCTCATCGTCAAACCCCACACTTCGTCGGTCAACGGTCGTATGGCCGCCACCGGGACATCGCCGCTGCCATAATACATGTTGATAGCCTGTACGTTTATTTTCTTTCAACTACGCTCTGTCACTACAGGTCGGGCCGTGTAACACTCACGTTGGCGGCCAACGTGCTCCACTTTGAGTGCGTGTTGACAAGTACTCCACGCACGTCTGCGAGGCCGGGGTGATGCAAGACTTGGACAACCGCAAGTGTGGCGGTGTCATCTATCCCTCCGAATATGTCGACATCAAGGAGAATGAGTTTTGGAGCTTCCGGCGACGTGGTGGATGCGGCTGCGCATGCTAGCAGCGCCGCAAGTGTCCAACGACTAACGATGGCCACCCTGAATCCCATGCGCTTAGCGTCTGGAACGCTGACAGCACGCACCAAGCAGCTTTAAGCCTCGCACAATCCCGTTTAGCATGCTTACAAATCGGTTGACGGCTTTCACGGCTCCCACCCTCGACATGTGATGCTAACATGGTTCCCTGGGGCCATGAACAACTCTAAACTTGGAGAAAGTATGTGTCATTCCCTGCTGCACCTGCACCGACGGAGTTCGCTACTGTGAGTCCAGCAGAAACGTGTTTTCCTTCCATTCTCAATGGCAAAATCTCTAGCTCATGAGTAGTACTCATTTACTTCAAACTTCATATGCGTGCGCGGTCTTCCGCAGAGGCGCCATGTACCGTCGGACCAGTAGCTCGGAGGGGGTACCACTGTTTCGCTGTCGGACGCTTACACGGAGACCGAACACCGCTACTATCGGTGGTATGTACCTTCCTTTGAGCATTTTCAAGCTTGTCTCTTCCCGTGCGGTCGACTGGCTCCAGGCTTCGCTGATTCCTAGACTTGACGGCGGTCTCCGATTACTGGCGATTGGGCCACGATCTCAATTTATATACCCGCAACATTCACGCATCGCACCGCTTTCTGTCAATATGGCGGCACATACAGGCACACCTGAATTTTGACGAATCGGGTGCAACCATTCGTTCAGCTGGCCTCGACTTGTTTAGGCTCTTCTGTTGTACTTGCGCCGGGTAGATCGAGGACAAGCGCCCTACGCCAAAATTTCAAAGCTGTGCTGTAGTGGCACAGACTTTGTCGGTACTTTAGATTGATCTGGTTTCGGGTGCTTTCTCACGGCTCTCCGAAGTGACTCTGCTTGGGGCTTGGGCTCGGATGTTCGACGATGACGCTTGGCCTGGAAGTCCGCTGTTCCTTGTATTCTGGAGCTGAAATCCTGTTTCAACCAAAGTCTGGATGCCATTCTCGATCCCGACGCTCTACCCCTGCATACATGCCAGCTGAGCCTGGGCTCAGGATGGTTTCTCATGAACAAGCAACATCCACTTATTTCGCGGACAACGAAATGACTTGACCACTTGAAGCTGGTCGCATGCGGTTTGTGGCAAATCCAACGTCGGCTTTTGATTCCACGCGACTTCAGCACTGCCTAGATAGAGGAAAACATGTGCGACGACCACCGCCGTGATCAGTCATATTATGCAGCGTAAAGGCTCGCGAGTGCATTTACATCGACGTAGATGGGCCGGTAAGTATGGATATTGCATTTTGCATGGCGCGCTGTTGACGGGAAGTCCCACCGTACCCGTATGCTTTGCCCCGCACCTCGCCCGACGTCTTCCCCGTAGGGACACAGGCGAGATGACGGCTGGTGTGCCGAGGCGTAGCTGACAAGCGCGGCGTGAATGATATGTGTCCCTTCGGGGGTGCGATGTTGTATGTATGGAGTTGTGGCACCCGTAACGATCATGTCAGTGCCACCAAAGTGAGTTTTCAAGGTTTCCGATCGTATCGATTAGGCGCAGCAAGGGTGTGTGTGCGCCTGGCGACAATCCAGATCGCGCGGCCACCAGGTCGAGCATGCGGAACGCGGAGTGTTGCAGATATGGGCGGCAAGCCGACGCGGGTTGTGCGAGAATTTCGGTCTCGTGAGATGATTTTCATTTATTTTCGGCGATGGTTTGCGTTTTCGATGAATCATCCAGGTGGCGTATGGCAGACGAGAACAACCGATCACGGAATTGGTGATAGACTTGTGATTCGCCGGGTTCGCTGGGCTCGCTTTCGCTCCGAGGTCAACGTCGATGTCGCCCTTCATTTCGCCTGGTTCTGTCATTCTACGTCCTACGCGCGACATTGGCACTGGCTGTGCTATCTGGGCTCTCCCCTTTCTTGCGGCGGACCATTACTCTCCTTTTGTTACTTGTGCCATAGGATCTCATTCTACACGTGGAGCTCATAGTGTTTCAGCCTCTGCACAGTTCCGGCCCGTGGCCAGTCGACAACGGTGGTAACTGGTTTGTCCCCCTCAATTTGAAATCATATTTACCTTTCTTCGCGCGTTTTAAACAGGTCGCACACTATCGGTGTCTTCGACCACCCTCCCTCGCTCCCTTCCGTCCCCGGTTCCCGGTGTACCACCTTCTCGCGTTTCGGAAACACGTTTTCGTGGAACCCGCTGTTAAGACGCTGATTGCTGTCATCTCCTTTCAATTCGTTGAACGGACATGGTACGTCTGACGTCTGTACTTTTGCTCTATCGATACATAGCTCATTTACCGCCCTTCCCGGCTCTCCCACCATCTCCACTCCCACATTTCCCTGATTTTGGCTCTTGCGTTGAACCTGAATTCCAGACGTCAGCGCTCAGCCCTTCCATTCAAGAAGCCATGTCGCGCAACACTCCCTGGCCCCGTCCCTCCTCCCCGTCGTCCCTTGTCGCGTCCTATAGCCGTCCCTCCATATCTCTACGTGCGCACATGCCCGCCACAACTGCATCCAGCCGTTCCCCCAAGATGCGGTCGGCCCCGCCACTCGGACCCCCACTATCTATCTCTTCGAATGTATCCCGCTTCGTTGGACCATCATCCGCAATGCCTATGTCCCGCGTTCACGCGCAGAACCCACCCAGCGCATCTAAAATCCTTCCCAACCTGTACATATCTGATCTCGCTTTCGCCGAGCGTGCGGACTGCCTAAGCGATGCGGGCGTCACTCATGTACTCACCGTGATGGGCGACCGCGTCAACGTCCCAGACACCATTCCCGACATGCTTATGCGTCGTCCCCACGGTTTTCAAGGCCATACGCGGCGTTTGGTGAAAAAACAAGTGCACATAGACGACTTTCCGTTCGCGGAACTGGCTGCCCACCTCCCCATGTTGGTCGCGTTCATTGAAGATGCGCTACGGGCACCAGAAAATGTTGTTCTTGTGCACTGTGTCGAGGGCATCTCACGGTCCACAAGTGTCGTCGCTGCGTATCTCATGAAGATGTTCCGGTGGTGATTGTTTTGCTTTCAACGCCAGCTTCTCACGACTAACGGATTGATTTTATGTGCGTGCGTCTAGGTCGCCATCAGAAGCCATTTCTTTCATCAAAAACGTGAGACCAGTTGCCAATCCAAACTTTGGATTTGTACAGCAACTGTGGGAGTATGGTCGCACGCAGGGCGTCGTTACTACGGACGTCGGTCCGTCGCCTCGGGGGCACCGTCAGCGAACCGTATGACCTGCCTCCTTTCTCCTGCTCTCTATCCTCCTTTCTCGCGGATATCAAA